ATGATCTGGTTGAACTGTAAAGTGCCTTGAGATGATGTGTTGTGAATTGGCACCATATAAATAAACTGAATTGAGTTTAATTAAATTAGTATTAATAATATGATTCAGTTCTGTTACGTAGTAAAATTAAATGTTGCATTTCAAATATTTACACTGTGGAGGTGGCAGTTATAGCAGTTTTATTGGACTGCCTGAACAGCTGGTCAGAGGGACTTTACTTGGGTGGGGCATGAAAACTTATTTGGGCACCAAAGGGGGGGCTGGCTATAAGAGGTTTTAAACTAATGAATTAGAGCGGGGAAAGGGCTGGAAGCATCTTTATTCTGTTTATGGATATTTGTAGCTCTTGCAGCACATTTCCTTGGATGCAGTTTATTACCACAATCATCATGACAATTAATTAAGTATTGCATGTATTGTTTAAGATAAGCATGAGCAAACAATGTAATTTGAACCAAAAGAGAAAAACTATGAACTTTGTGTTACCTTCATTTAACCGGTAGCTCCATTAGTCCCTGCTCTGTGCAGCTCCTCATGGGATTGACTGCAGGTCTTTTTCCTTTTGTTTCTTCAGGCCTCTAAATAATGGGATAAAACCCAGTTGCTCAAAAGTTGAAAAGTGGAAATTTATTATTATATTATTAAATGACCCAGAAATAATAAATGTTTTATAATTTTTCTAAAAATACCCCAAACCTAGCGGGGCCGCCTCAGGAGTCACTATCTCGCCTCCTCCCGACACCTCTGCATTACCAAATAAGGTGATGGTAGAACCTGTTTAGTCAACATAGGTCAAGAATGTAAATTCATTCTATCTGGCTTAAGCCAGTGTGGGATATTTTCAATCGTTGCACGCAGCTGCAGCTCCCACTGTATGATGAAGCCACAGGGTTTCATCGTTCAGTGTGAGTTCACAGCTCACGCTCACACTGGACGGCCTCATCTAAAAACCAGGTGGCACTCAGCTCCGCAGTGAGGTGGCGCTACTCAGACTCATCTATCCAGAAGCCAGACGAGTAAAAGAGGAACATGAAGCTCACTAGAGTGAAACACGCTGCCTTGGCAATTTGGGCAATTTTGTGCTGAAAGACCTAAAAAGAAAAGGCGACAACGTATTTGGCCGCCATGCTTCTGGGTTTTCCTCTGAGAAGAAGAAGAATCTTTGTTTGCCCACTGAGTGATTTGCCAACGACCACCTTAAGACGGCCGACTGAATTTCAAACATGTTTCATTTTCTCAAACCATCAGGGTGAAAGTCGGCAAGATTGAAAAATTCTCACATGACTGGAGAATTGCCCTGAAAGGAGCAAAAAATCGTACAGTGTATGCCCGGCTTTACACAGAAACTTAACAAATATAGACAATTGGTATTTATTTGAAACAGAAAATAAATACAAATAAATTAATCTTCAACATGTCCTGCTTTTCAGGTGGTGAAAAAAACCACTTCACTGATGAATGACCCGTATGGAAATGTACCCTATGTCATACTGTATATGCCAAGCGATCCATTCCGGCTGTCACCTGAGTGCCGTGACTCCTGTGATGCATTTATTTATGTATTATATTTTGACAAATTGGGCTGCTCAGTGCAGCAAGAAGGTTCTGGGTTCGATTCCCGGCCCAGGGTCTTTCTGCATGGAGTTTGCATGTTCTCTCTGAGCATTCGTCTGTTCTCTCCAGGTACTCCGGCTTCCTCCCACATTCCAAAAACATGACATTTAGGTTAATTGGCTTCTCTAAAATTGTCCTTAGGTGTGAGTGTGTGTGTGAATGGTTGTGTGTCACTGTGTTGCCCTGTGATGGACTGGCGAGCTGTCCAGGGTGGAACTCGCCTCTCGCCCAATAACTGCTGGAGATAGGCACCAGCACCCCTCGCGACCCTACTTGAGACAAGCGTGTCAGATAATGGATGGATGGATTTTGACAAATTTCTGAAACTATCCATCCATCCATTTTCTTACACGCTTAATCCCAAGCGGCGTTGCTGACACCTATCTCCAGCTGTCAATGGGCGAGAGGTGGGGTACACCCTGAACAGGTTGCCAGTCCATCGTAGGGCAACATAGAGACAAACGGGACAAACAACCATTCACACACTCATCTAGAGACGCCATTTAACCTAACAGTCATGTTTTTGGACCCTGTGAGAAGCTGGAGTACCCGGAGAACAAG